TCCTGGGAGGGCTAAAAAACGACACCCCTCACAAGGATTCTGGCCCCGACGGGGGGAGCCAGAAAAATGTTCCCCTCTTCTTTGAAGCCAAAATCATTGATTTTACTACGGATTTGGCTCCATTTTGGCCTTCTGAGGGGGCAGCGCTAATTAAAGCTCCCCTCTTCTTTCAAGCCAAAATCATTGATTTTACTAAGGTTTTGGCCCCATTTTGGCCTTCTGAGGGGGCAGCGCTAATTAAAGCTCCCCTCTTCTTTGATCGATTTCCTCCAAGATGGCCCCAAGAAGCGCCCAGGAGGCACCAAGAGGCCCCAAGATGGCCCCAAGAGGCCCCCAGGAGGCCCCCAAGAGGATCCCAAACGGCCCAAAGAGGCCCCCCCGAGGCACCCAAGACGCCGAAAAGCCCATCAGGACGACCCTCTACTCGCCTGGGCGTCGTTTCTGGACGGGCAGGAGGAGGGGCCCGAACGACTCACACCAGGACGAGGGGCCCGAACAACTCACACCACGAGAAGCCCGAACGACTCACACCAGGACGAAGAGCCCGAACGACTCACACCACGAAGAGCCCGAACGACTCACACCAGGAAGAAGGGCCCGAACGACTCACACCAGGACGAGAAGCCCGAACGACTCAAACCACGAGGAGCGCTTTCTCTCCCTCCTCCTCCGCCTCGTCCTTCTCCCGCTTCCACCACAAGGAGGATGTACAAGGAGGCGGGAGGAAGGAGGAACAGGTGAGATATGCGGGGGCAGGCGGAAACACGCCTGAAAAACACGACTGTCGGCATGCTTCGCTAGAATTGCTGTTTTGAGATGGGCTGGTGGGGATACGCGAAACGTGAAGAATTTCCAATGGCACCTGGCAACGACACCGACGCCGACAACGACAGCGACAGCGACGACGACGCCAACGACGACACCGACGACGACGACTCCGACGACTTCGACGACGACGACAACGACGACAACGACGACGACGACGACGACAACGACGACGCCGACGCCGACGACGACGATGACGAAACCGACGACGACGACGACGCCGACGCCGATGACGACGCCAACGCCGACGCCGACGCCGACGCCGACGCCGACGCCGACGACGACGGCGACGACGATGACGGCGACGACGAAGACGATGACGACGACGACGTCGCCAACGAAGACGACGACGACGGCGACGAGGGAGGAGGGAGGACGACGACGGCGACAACGACGAAGGAGGAGGGAGGACGGCGACAACGACGACGACGACCACGACGACGACGACGAAATAGGAGGGACGACGGCGAGACGCCGTCGATGGACGACGACGAAGACGAGGGAGGAGGAAGGACGACCACAGCGACAACGACGACGATTGAAACGACGACGACGTCAAAGAAGACGACGTCGACGACAAGGAAAGACAGAGGTCGACGACGACGACAACGACGAAGGAGGATGGAGAACGACGGCGACGACGACGCAAGAGCGCGTGCGCACGCTTTTGTTGAAAATCCGTGTTGCGAAACCTTGTGTTTTTTGTATGTTTTGGACACACGATTTTGACATCCTTCCAAAACCGACGGTTTTTGAAGGATTTCGGCATGCGTGCGCGACGACGCGCGCGTGCGCACTTCGTTCTGTTTTTCGCAAAGGATTCTCGCGACGGCACGCTCGCAATGGCGTTCGAAAGATTTCGACATGCGCGCGCGCGAAGCCCGCTTGGTAGTATTTTTTGAAAGCGTTGAAAACCCCATTGTCTTCGTAAGAGTTCGCAAGAGCGCGCGCCAAAGTTTTTTTAGCACATCAAGGTTCTGAAACCATGTTTTTTTGGTATGTTTGTTGGACACTCGATGTTGAAATCCTTCTTGGACCAAGGGTTTTTGAAGGAATTCGGCATGCGCGCACGACGACTCGCGCGTGCGCACTTCGTCTTATTTTTTGCCAGCGATTCTTGAAAACTTCTGATATGTGATCAACGAATGCGCGCGTAGTATGTTTTGCAGAGGATGGCGGGGGGGAGTGACACCGGCTTGGCTGGGATCGTATGACTTCACAACTAGGATGGGCGATGGGGCAGAATCATGTGCAAATTCCCATACGAAACCAAGGGATCGATACTTCCAGGGGGGTAGATTCTTTATATCTATATATATATATATAGATCCAAAAAAAAACAAGAAAGGATAATTTACATTGCGTTCCGCGCGCGTGACCACCTCCCGCGCCCGCGCAATCACCCCACCCACCCACCCGCAACTTGGTGTGCACGACCCATGCGGCGACGACTGCGCTGACTGCGCGGCGCTGGCTGGCGCACCGCTGCGGCCGCGCTAGCGCGCAGGCTCGCGCGCGGAGCGGCCGCCTAGTCTGCCGCGACCGACGCGGCCGCGTTGGCGCTGACCGCCGGGAACTTCCCTCCGCGCCTGGCAGGCAGCGCTGCGCCTCAGCGAGTCGGCGACGCGGCAAAATGAAAATGTCGACGCCGGCAGGCGCGACCTTGGTGGCGATGATGACGATGGCGACGGCAAGGACAATGACGGCGCCGATGCTGGCCACGCCGATGACGATGACGGAATCCTCGCGTCGGTGAGGGAGGTTTTGGGGAAAGTTTGACATGCGCGCGCGGTCGACGCGCGCGAGTGGCCCTCGTGGAATAATATGACAGGAGCCATGCCCCCCTCCCCCGCGCCCCACCCCCGCGTCGCGCGCGCAAAGGCGTCGCAATGATTCTGACATGCGCGCGCGAGGGGATTGTTTGGGCGCATTTGATGGGCATGTTGCAAACACACATTGCGTTGTTAAGCAATCCCAGAGGCGCAACGCATGGACGTTGTTTGACAGCTCCTCTTGCGGAACCACTTGTGGTTCGTATGTTTTCGGGGCTCTCGGCGTTGGCGCCCGCGCGACACCTGCGGTCTCTGACGCATTCTGGCGCGCGCGCGATGGCGCGCGCGCGCGTGCGCTTCGCACTTTTTACCTGCAGGGGAGTCTTGCCACGGCGCGCGCGCAGGGGCGCTCGAATGATTTCGACGCGCGCGTGCGGGGGGGGGGGCGTTTGAACGCATTTGGTGAACATGTTGTAAACACAAAGGCTTTCCATAGAGCTTGCAAGAGCGCGGGCGCAGGCTTCGTTGTCAGCTCCTGTTGCCAAGCATTGGTTGCTTTGGCTGATGTCTGGACATTCGACTTTGCAATCCTAGCGGGGCCCAGGGTTTTTGGCGGATTTCGGCATGCGTGCGCGACGACGCGCGCGCGTGCACTTCGGCCCGTCATCTGGAAGAGATTCTTGCAAGCTGACTTAGACGAAATGCGTGCGCACGGTATGTGTGGCGAAGGATTTAGGCGAGGGGGGGGGGGCGATGCCGGCCAGAAAAGGATGATAGAGCTCATGTTTAGAACGGGCGATGGGGCAAAATCGAATGTATATTGCACATTCCAAGGGGGGCGGATACGTACGGCCTCGGAAGGGTGGTGGATCCTATTTCCTTCTCAAAAGAGAATTCGCCCTCCCGATCTTGAAGTTGCCAACTTCACTGCCCGCGCAATCATCCTACCCGCCGCCCCGCAACTTGGCTTGCAAACCCATGTGGCGGCGATTGCGATGACAGCGCGTCGCTGGCTGGCGCATCGCTGCGGCCGCGGTGGCGCTCATCACTGGGCACTTCCCAGCGCGTCTCGCAGGCCGCGCTGACGCGCGGGCACTGCAATGCAAGTCGGTGGCGGGCGGGCGGGCGCGGGATCATGGCGACGTCGGCATCGGCGCACGCGATGATGTTTGTGGCGATGCTGGTGGCGACGACGATGATAACGACTGCAAGGGCGATGAAAACGCCGATGCTGATCACGCCGGTGGCGATGATGGTGTCCACGTGCTGGCAATGAAGTCTGCGGCGAGATTCCGACTTTCCAGCGCGGGCGCGAGTGGTCCGCAGGGTGTTATTTGACAGGGGTCGCGCCCCCCCCCCAGGCGCGCGCAATGGCGTTCGAATGATCTCGACATGCGCGCGCGGAAAAAGTCAATTTGGTAGCATTTGATGAACACGTCGAAATACCTAGCTGTGTGGTTGAAGAATTAGCAAGAGCGCGCAAACTGTTTTGAAACATCGCTGTGCAGCACCATTATTTATCATGTTCTCGTGACGCTCGAGTTTGAAATTCGCACGAAAGTGAGATTCTGGCATGCGCGTGCAACGACGGGCGCGTGTGGACTTCGTCTTATTGTTCCAGCGAGTTTTCCCACATTCGTGATTTGTGATAAACGGGTGCGCACGCATGGTATCACGCATGGTATCATTTGACGGAGATGAGGGGAAGGGGGGTAGATACCGGTTTGGCTGGGATGAAATGAGTGCTTTCGTGAATTGAGCGATCGGGCAGAGTCGTATGTTAAATATGCATCCCCAAGGGGGGCGGCGACGGGGCGTTGACGACGAGCACGCAGCCGCCGAACCAGCAGCCAGGCCCAGACGACTGGCGGCGACGGGGCGGCGACGGCGAGCACGGAACCGCTGGACAGGCAACCAGGCCCAGTTCCTCAGAACACATGTAAGAACCCCTAAATGTAAACACTATTTGGGGACTCTCACTCTCTCTCTCTCTCTTTCTCTCTCTTTCTTTTGTGTATATATATATATATATCATACCACCTAAAGACTGGCGCACAACGCCGGGGTCCGTGCTTGCGAAGGCGACGACAAAGAAACAACATGCATAACATGATAATACCACATCACGCCCACATCACTTTCGTATCGTAGTGTGACCATGCTTCTCATCACAGGAAAGAGGAGGGGCCCAGACATCCGACGATGTTTTTTTCAATCCGCGGGTCTCAGGCGACGGGCAATAATTTTCCTTCCTGGGCAATTTTTGATGGCCCAAGGCACGAAAACGGCCCCCAGAAAAGGAGGAGGAATGGGACGATGAGGAAAGAGACGTGGACAAGGAAACGGGATGAGGAGGAGCGAACCGAAGGAGGGGGAGGGGGGCGATCCCCCGTGCGCGTGTGCCTGCCACGGCGGCTGGAAACGCTGCCACCTGAGCGTTTGCTCCGCATCCTGGCGTTGCTGCGGCGGGCACAGGGGGATGGGGAAGGGGACAGGTAGGGATGGAGGGGGCTCTCCTGCTCCACCTCCAAGTCCACCTCCCCTTCCACCTTCATATCCTCCTGCTCCTTTCCCCCCTCCTCCACCACCACCTCACTCGACATTTCCAACAAACACAATGCCAGAAGGCGGGCCGTTTTCAAAATGGATCTCTCGCCTCAGCGCCTCGCGCATTCGTCTTGAAAAGCCTGAAATCTGTTACAGGGGTGGAAGACGGCCCCTTTCCAAAGTCGGATTTCCGCATGAACTTTCCTCATAACGAGATACAACATATACAATGTGCGCAACAATTCCCCAAATTGATGACAATTCGTTGTCAAGATTGGTTCCCGGCTTTCGCCGAAGACTTCACTCAACAAGAGCGCGTTTCTTTATATTCGGCGATGACGGGGCGTCATGGGGGCGGGGAAGGCGGGGGGGGGTATGACGTGACGCCCCCCCCCCGCCGTGTGGCTCCGGCACCACAGCCGCGCCCGCGCGCACGACGCGACGAGCGACGAGCGACGAGCGACGACGACGACGCGAGCAGCATGTAAGTGGCGATCTGCCCATTGCGCCTGTGTGCACAGCAAAGCTCGCGTGCACCACGCCGCGCGTGTGCACCACAGCGCCTGCGTACACCGCAACAGCCGTGTGCAACGCACCGCCCGCGTATACCACAATACTTGGGAGCACTACAGCGCCGGTGTACATACACCGCAGCAGCCATGTGCAACACAACGCCTGTGTACACCACAGCGCTTGCGTGCACCGCAGCGCCTGTGCACGCCAGAGCGCCTGTCTACACCACAGCATACGCGTGCAACACAGCGCTGGTGTACACCACTGTGCCTGCGTGCGTAGGACAGGTAGAAGGAGCATGTACGTCAGGATCTACTGCGGACAACTAATCGCCACGCCAGGAAAGTTCTGATAATCGAATGCGACGTTTTTCCGTGCTCCCTCCTCCTCCACCTCCTCCTCCTCCTCCTCCTGTTGATCATCCTTCTTACCCCCTGTCGTGCGGCTTCGCGTTACAACGCACGTGCGCATCTCAGCGTGCACCGCAGAATGGTCGATTGAACCGGTCCGCGTGATTTTCGGACGGCCAGTTTCGCTGGAGCCTCCTGGACGCAAATGGGAGTTAGGGTGATGCGGGCGGATTCGGGGGGACTCGTAGATTCTAGCGGCGCTCCTTTGTCCATGAGGATTTGGATTCCATTGTTTTCTCTGGAATCCAAGCGCGCTCCATTTTGTCACAAGGATTCCTTCTGAAATTCTATGCACAACAATGGTGCTGTGTTGCACACGGCTGATGTGGTGCACACAGGCGCCGTGGCGTACACAGGCACTGCAAATGCACGCAGGCATTGTGGTGTACACTGGTGCTGTGTTGCGCACGGCTGATGTGTGCGGAGGCGCTGAGGTGTACACAGGAGCTGCTGTGCCCGCAGGCACGGTGGCACAAACTGACGCTGTGTTGCACGCGGCTGCTGTGGTGTACATCGGCGGTGTGGTAAACAGGCGCTGTGGTGCACGCGGGCGCTGTGATGTACACAGGCGTTGCGGTGCATATCGCCACCTACATGTTCGTGCTACCCGTCCTCTGTCATTCCTAAGCATTCCCAGACGCCACCGGCGCGAAACGTGACGTCATCGACCCCCTCCCCCCCCAATGATTGCCGTCATCGGCCCGGACTTAAAAACAGGCTCCAGCCGCGTCCGTGCGCACGACGACGATGAGCGACGAGCGACGAACCACGAGCGACGACGACGGACGACGACGACGACGACGACGACGCCTGCGAACCAGACACCGATGCGGATTCCTACGCGGACACCTACGCGGATCTCAATGCGCACGGCGGCAGTGCCTGGAGCGCACTGGGGGGGGGGAGCGTTACGTCATAAGGGGGGGGGGAGCGGGGGCCATGACGCCCGACATGCCCCAAGCAAGAAAGAAACGGGCTCCAAGTGCCACAGGTGCAAGCTTGTGCAACAGCTACACGAATGGAATGCGGCTCTTGGCCAGGATGCGGCTCTGGCGTGAGGCCGTGCCAAACTTTTCCATAACTGTAAGCTTTCATAGCGTTTACATGAATGCAGGCCGGTTCCCTTTCAATAAGGAGCTCTCGCTGGCCGCCCCGTTGAACTTTATGATCCGTCCTTGTCGGATCTGTTATCACTCGCTGGAGGGATGCAACGCAGCTCATTTTCAAAACAGGACTCTCGCCGAAATGGCAAGCCCATGGGGTGCTCGTCTTTCGGGGGGGGGCCTCTTGCATTGGAGAGCGAGGCTTGTAGGAACATATCAACATATCAAGCGGGAGCTGGGGACGGGATGGTATATTGTAGCATCGCTGATGATGTTGGGTTTGCTGATCCTCCTCCTCCTCCGTTTCCTCGTCCACTCCCCTCCTCCTCGGCTGTGGTGGCACGGGGCGGGGGGGACGGCGAGGGCAAAAGGAAGTGCGGGGGGGGGGGGGCAGGGGAGAGTGGAGGCAGGAGGGGGAGAGGAGGGGCGGGGGGGTGGCGGGGGATACAGCCATTGGGATACCGTAAGGATGGCTGAATGGGTAACGACCGGGCCTTTCGGGCCACGGCGGGCCTCGGCCACGAAGAGGGTCCTCAAACTGGATAGTCGAAGCAGCCTGGAAAACCATAGCTCCTCTGGAACCCAGGATGGTCTCCAGTTCAGCGGCGTGACTGTACACCCGAAAGCAGACACCCACACACACCCACACAACACACACAACACACACAACACACACAACACACACACACGCAACACACACACAACACACACGCAAAACATGCATTTTTGGACGTCCGCGGGTGGTTGCTCCGCCGGCGCCTGGACCCCCTCCGCGCCACCACTGGGCGGCGCGCGACTCTCCCAGCGCCCAGGGGAGGGATGTGGGCTTCGCTGTCCTTCAAAAGCGCTCAAGGAATTTGGTTAGCGCTGTCGCGGTCGGGGTGGCAGGCCTGGACTCGAACTCGCAACTTGAACGCATCCAATAACCAAAACTCGAACATGAAACACAAAAGCTGCCGACCGCGAAACAAACTCGATGACAAGACTTGGCATCTAAAACAAACGGCAGCCCAGGAACGGGCAGGAAAGGTGAAGCGCGGAGAAAGCGGAAAACGCACTGGGATGGTACTTGAGAAGGAAAGGGCGCAGCTTTGGCGGACAAAGACACGATAGAGAGTCAAGAACGGAGAAAAACAGTTACGAAGCTGCAGACACATATTGGCACAACGGTTTGCGATTTTCACACAACAAAAAGCATCATCGCCTGAATCGGACATGCATCGTGAAATGGAACAAGTGGGGGAATGAGGGGAACGCTGCCCTGGAAACACATGAGTGTGGTTTCGGGGTCCTCCGTCGGCGGGCAAAACGTCGATGGACGTCCGGAAGTGTTGCTCCATATCATCCCTGGTTCTCTCAGGGAGAGGGGAATCACACGAGGCGGGCGGGAGAAGGGCACTGGTGATGGGCAGATGGCCCAACACAGGCGCACCTTTCTGAACAACCCGCCATCGTGGCTTAAGAGGGCCGAGGCATGATCAGACCGCGGTGTTTCCAGCCAGCCCCCGAAGAGTGGTGGCAAAGGTTGGGTGTGGGCAAGCCTGGCGACATAGGTTGAGAGCCGCATGTGTGTGTATACATATATCTACATATATACACACGCGCTCTTAGGTATGCGGGAACTCCCCCAAAACAGAATGTGCATAGCTTGCTGAAGGCCTCACGCTCGAGACCCTACCACGGACACATGTCCACTATGCCTTGCGCGGTGGCGTCGCGTGTCCACCATACTTTGCGCGGTGGCGTCGCGCCATGGTCACGTTCTGTTCCCAGCGGGTCCACGCCCGCCCCCCTTGCCAGCGACGCATGGCCGCTGCAGCCTTGGGCCAGCAAGCGCGCGCGCAGACTCTCTGCGCTCCGCTGACGCCGCCGCGAGAAGTCCTCGGGGCGACGCGGCTCTTCGCCGCAGGGCAAGGGGCGTCTCGCGCGCCCGCCCCGCGCTGCTCCTCACCGCCGCGCCGACGGAACATGTGTAGGGCCGTGCCCCGAGGCCGACACCGAGGAGACCAAGAGGCACCCATACCGCCACTCCCTGGACCTCTCCTGGGCCGCGTTCTGACCATAAGCTTAAGGCGAATCCAGCGGAGGCGACGTGAGCAGACTTTCTGTTTTCGAGGTATGTGGGCCGGGACGGGGAAGTCTGAAAGGGGAGGGGTGCCCGCCACCACGGGAGGGCGAAGTGCGCTCCAACGGCGCAGAGGCCAAAAGGGCGCCTGCGGCTCCTCCGCAGTGATCCATGAGTGGGTGAAGCTTCATCTGATGTCATCGCTGTTGTTCACTCGCCTGTTCTTCAACTCTCATACTGTCGTCCCAACGCGGCAGCCTGTGCACACTCTCAACTGTGTGATGTTGCTTGTGTTGAGGCGAATTTATGGTGAAGTGCGTCAGAAGCAGGAAGAGCACCGTGACGTCGCAAGCTGAGCGGACGCGGGCAGGCACGCCAGTGCCCCGCCCCCCTACGCCCCTCCGGAGGGCCAGGGCCGTGCGCTGCGTGGCGTCTACAGAGTCGCTCAGCGGCATCCGGAGACGGCCCTTGCCTCCACTGCGGGGCAGGGGCGTGCACGGACGGGGGTTTTGGCTGTCGCTGGCGGCCAGAGAAAGGCCTGCAGTTGAGACTCCGGGGATCCCGGGCCCCTGGGGGAGGGGGCGTGCGGCGCGCCGGGCTCATTTGCGGAGGCGGCTCGCGTAGGGTTGCGGCTGGGAAGGGGGGTGCCTCGTGTTGCGGGGGGTCCTGCTCGTCGTCATCCTCTTCTCTGGGGGCTCGCCCAAAGCTGGTTTGTATAGCTTTATTCCCGCTGGCACCGAAGCGTGTTCCTTACATGACTTTTCAGTTTGACAACTGATATGCCTGACTGCGGTTGGCGACTCGGCCACCGCC